GATCCAATATATATGCCAACATGCTGACCCACTGCTCCTCAGATTCCCAATTGTTTATGAGGATTATACTTGCTGTCCATTCTAAAAATGCAAACTCCATGACGCTACGTAATTAGAATTTGAAGTTCTAACCTTAAATTTTAGTTGATATGTACGAGAGTGTTACATGAATTATTGCTACTTGACAACTACTCTTTAAACATTTTCATTAGGTAATTATGACACCTACCTTAACTTTGATGGTAGTGTCAATTTTTTTAATGATTATATGGTCGGAAATTTGTACCAATGTTTAACAACTTAATTATATGGTTTGCGACATCAGGATGAGACAATGTGAGTGGGACTAAAAGTTACGAAGTTTATACTTGTCTCTTACCTTTTCACCCTTTTCACATTGCTTTGGCTTTCAATTCTTGCGTGTTAATGAACAGCAAAGGATTACTACATGTTCTGCACACAAAGGGTTGTTCTTTTCCCCAAATTTTCACTTTCTTTGTTTTCTTCATGCCTTTGTGCCTTTCTTTTACATTTTTCCTGTTTGGGTGTGCTTAATTATGTTATTTGCCATAATTAAAGTGGAATTTAAACAATGGAGGAGCCAGTAGTAATGCTATGGGTATAATGTATTATTATTATTATTATTATTATTATTATTATTATTATTATTATTATTATTATTTTACAATAATCTATATGTTAACTGCTAATTTTAATCCCTAAATTTTGAATTCTACACTTTTTTGTCCTTAAACTAATTTAGGTACATTTTTGTCCCTACACTCTTAGACATGCACAAAAAGTGTCCTTCCCTCAAGTAATTTCATCCCCTTATATAGATTTTTAGTTAGTGTTAAGTACCAAATTAGTGCAAGGGCCAAAAAAGTATAAAATTTAAAGTTAAAGAATGAAAACTAGCATTGAACCTACTTTATTGTTAAATATAATGTAATGTTAAGTGAGTTGCTGCATATTGGTTTTATATGTGGCATCCAAAGAAAAAAGAATCAATTACAAAATGTTATATGATATTATATAAATCTATATATGTCTATCCTTCTCAATGAGAAACTTAAAAGAAAGAAGTGAAGTGTGAACAACTAAACAAAAATGGCAATCATCCTCTCTTTTCATTGGCTTCCCTTTATTCCTTTTCTTTTGCTTCACTAGCGCTTGTGATATCTTGAGGACAAAACAAGTAATTAATGGATTGGCAATCCTAGCTTCACTTTCTTTTCCATTTGATGGTAGCTGAGATACGAATCATATATGATTTTCTTTTTATGCATGCTCATAATTAGATAGGATCAAATAACCAAAAAAGCACTGCCTCCTAATCTCGACATAGATCTAACTTGGTTTTGATTGAACCGAAATCACATCTACAAAAAGAAAGCTGTCTTGAAAATAATGGCTTTTTCTCCAACTAAAATGTAATTAGAGCGAACGTCTCCTTTTGTTGCGGAATCGATAGAAAAGAAGGAGAAAAAGTTGATATCTTTTCAGTACATAAAAAAAAAAAAAATTTTTGAAACCAATGTTTTATACTAACAACAACTTGGAGGAATCCTATAAAGGTAATAACTTGAGTTCCTAACTTTTATTATTTATCACATGGATCAATCTAGAGTACTTAACTTCTTTTTTTTTCTTTATCTTGGTTATATTTTATATTGGTTGTACGATAAGAAACAATTATCTCTTATTTTTTATCTCATTTCATCTGCATATCATGCGATTCGAACTTAAAATCTCTTATTGTCAACGGAAAGAGATAATCATTAAATTATTTAGATCATTAACAACTTTTTTTTTTCTTTTAATTATTGTTTGATTTGAATTTTTATATTTTAGAAGAATAAATGACTGGCAGCACGTACAGGGCCGGGAGACGTACAGGGAGTGTGCTATCAGCAGATTATATGCTAGATAGATCATATATATATATGATTATATTTATATTCGTAGATATAAAATAATAATAATGATTTTTGAAATCAAATTTATAACGAAGTTTTAATATCAAAATTTTTCATTCATTGATATTGCCGGCTTATATATATGGGACTTGCCGCATGATTAATAATTAATATAATTTTAGATAGATGGTGACAATCATTATTCTAAAAATATATAAAAATAAATGAAAGATTTATATCTAGTGATATATCTCGCATATAATCTACTAATATATAGACGCCGCCTCCTTTTCAGATTTTGCCAACCTCTACGTCGATCGGCTGATATCTGCATATTTTCACATTCCAATCGATCGGCTGATATCTGCATGTGTTCACTTTCCAAAACCTTGAGATTCAATGAGTTACACAACACAAAATTTAATTTTCCTTCGTCTTTATCTCTTTTGATCTCTTTGTTAAAGAAAATATGAAAATGCCATAGTTAAAAACTTAAATTTTTATATTAAAGATATTAAATTTAGTGGTAATTTTCATTTGTTGAAAATAAAAGTTTTTGAATTTGAATCGCATGACATGTAAGTGAGGTGGGATAAGAGAAGTGAGAGAGTTGCTTTTCATTATGCATCTAACATTAAAAAAAAAAAGATATTAAATTTAAATTTTAAGACAAGTGAAAGGGTATTTGGAAAAAAGAGGCTATTCCCTTATATAACCTATTATATAATGTATAAAAAAATAAAAATATTATAATTTCAATATCATATAATATTATAAGTGTATAATATAATGTGTCATTATATAATTAGTTCTTTCTATTTAAAAATTTATCTGTAATATTATATGCATTTAATTATTTAATATCACATCATATGTATTTAATATAACATCATGATTATGAACTTACAAGCATATATGACTTTATAATTATAACATTATAAAAAAAAAAATGAATTCAGTTCCTTAATAGAAGCCACAATCAATTACGTGTTATTGCCAAGTACCACCATGTTTTTGGTTCAAACTTAAGAGTAGGTACCGTATTGATATATAATACTAGCACCACTAACATTAATTATGGGATAAAGCTTAGGAATTAGCAAGAATAAGGAATCTTTTCTTTTGATAATACTAAGTATGTATATAGGACAATGTTGCAAGTAAAATATCACCTCATATATTTAACATGTACAATATAATATAGTATTAAATAAGTAAATATATATAAAATTATACATAATCTTTTAAATGAAAAATATTTAATTAAAAAGTAACACATCTTAGATATTTTATTTTACTAACTTTTCAATATCTAATAATTATATTAAATTTTGATTAATTCAAAATCGAGTCACATTAAATCTTATAAAAAAAAACTCTTAAAATATCTATTTTTTCATTCTTAATATTTAAACTTAAAATTTTATTTAAAAGAATTGAGTTCTTTTATCTCGTATTGATTGACAGTTAATTTTAGATATTTTATTTAAGACATTATACAAGTAGCATTTTCTATATGTATATAAGACGTCTTTGATTACCTAAGGAAACAAACTTTAATTAAATGTTTGTAGTATTGGAAGGCAATTCCTAGCTAGATACTGACTAGGCGATAACTATTTTTAGAAGTTACATTAAATTTTAATTAATTAAAAATTAAATCGCATCAAATCTCATTAGAAAAAAAAATTTTAATACTTATTTTTTTTATTCATAATATTTATATTTAATATTTTATTTAAAAAAATCAAATCTTTTCGTCTCGATCAATAAATGATTAATTTTAAATTATTTTATTTAAAATATTACACAAGTAGCATTTTCTACATGCATATAAGACCTTTTTTTTTTTTTTGACCAAGTAGATGGTTAGGAAATTAGTAGAGTTAGTTTGTTAGCAGCTGAAATTTTTTCAGGAAAATGAACGTTCCACCTCCTTATTTGAGGCACGCGACCTTTAGGTCGCAAGTTGGTGGAGTTCACGGCGGTGACAGAGCTCGAAACCTTGACTTCCGCCTCACTCAAACCCTAAAGCTTAGGGGCTAACCAATGGACCCACAGCCCGATTGGCGCATATAAGACGTCTTTGATTAGCTAAGGAAACAAACTTTAATTAAATGCTTGTTCTCCTTTCTAGTATTGGAAGGCAATTCCAAGCTAGATGCCAGCTAGGCAATAGGCAACCTCAAAAATGCTTCCCTTTTACTGTCTTTTTCTACACTAACCATTACAACCACTGAACGTAGGTGACGTCTTCATCAAGTAAACCAAAGCGTCAGTAAAATGAGCGTGCATAGAAAAAGGCAGAAGCCATTTTCTTGCGATAACATTGGGTTTCAAGTTACCTAATTAGCCATTACCTATTTTCAAGAAAAAAAAAAGTTACCTAATTAGGGCATTTTAGGGGTGCTTAATTTAAGAGTTTACAAATTGTTATTAGTTATTAGTTTTAATATAATGCATTTGATTTTTTAAATTATAAATAATAATTATTAATTATTAAATTTTAGCTATTAATTATCTACTACATCTAAACATATAATCTAAATAGTTTCTTTAACTAAAAAAGTTAAAAGTAAAATGATATTAATTTTAATCACATGACAAATAAGGTTCAAGTGGAACCTATATATTGTGTCCCACCTGTCTTGTAATTATGATTAATCAACTTGATACTTTTAATATCATAAGTTAACTTATTTTTTTGAAATCTCTTTTAATTAAAGTAAATATTTATTTTTATGATATAATATATTTTTTGTCCACTATTTTTAAAAAGGAAAACAATCAATAATTATAATTATTTACTAAATGCAATACTCAAAATTCTTCCTTTTTTCATAATTATAGAGTTGAAAAAAAAAAAAGACGTCCTAATATTTCTAACATTTTTAGTATCAAAATATTCAATTATAAACATAAAATAAATGAAATATAATGTAAATTTTAATCATATTTTTCATATAATTGAAATTAAAGGTGAGTTATCAAGACATGTTAATTTTTATTTTTTATTACAATAATTATTAAAAAGATAGTCATGTAAATATAAAAGACCAGTCACCACTCTCTTGGAATTTTGGTCTGAGTCCCGAGGAAAAGGAAAGAAAGAGGCCTTGCAATTAACTGAACCTCTCACCAGGATGGGGCCCCTCCCCTACCATGTCCAAAAGATATAGCATTGGTAGGGGCCATTCTCAATATGTGATCCACATACAGGCTCTGATGCTCCCAAAGCCGTTGTTTTTAATTAATTTATCTTTTGTTTAATTGTTTTTGTATGCCTATAAATTGCAGTCACCGTGATCCCATTTCCTACACAACACTGACACAAAACACAGCGAGTAAAGAAAGATTAGTCTTTTTCTGAGTGAAACAATGAAGAATTTCCCTGTTGTGGACCTGTCCAAACTCAATGGTGAAGAGAGAGAAGTCACCATGGAAATGATCAAAGATGCCTGTGAGAACTGGGGTTTCTTTGAGGTAAGCCAAAAACTCTTTTCCAAAATGTTTCGTTTCCTTGTTGATTAGTTCTTGCAGAATTTTGAATCTTTGACCTCTATTTTAACGGATGCTAACAAAGCTAAGCTATTGTTCTTGTAATGTGTTTTGTATAGAATGAAGAAACTAATTATGGGTTTTAATTCATATTTGTTGGGTTGTTGAAGCTGATGAATCATGGGATATCTCTTGAGATGTTGGACACTGTGGAGAGGCTGACAAAGGGGCATTACAGAAGGTGCATGGAACAGAGGTTCAGAGAAATGGTGGAAATGAAGGGTCTTGAGGCTCTTCAGTCTGAAGTTGGTGACTTGGACTGGGAAAGCACCTTCTTCCTCAAACACCTTCCTGAATCCAACATATCTGAAATCCCTGATCTCGAAGAAGAATACAGGTACGATTTTACTCTTAAGATGGGAGTTTCTCTCTGTGTTCTGTTACTTATATTAGTGTATATAAAAAATTAAAGGAAGGTGATGAAGGAGTTTGCAAAAGAATTGGAGAAGCTAGCTGAGCAGCTTTTGGATTTGTTATGTGAGAATCTGGACCTTGAGAAAGGATACCTGAAAAAGGTGTTTCAGGGCTCCAAAGGACCAACCTTCGGCACTAAAGTCAGCAATTACCCGCCATGCCCTAAACCTGACCTCATCAAGGGCCTCAGGGCTCACACTGATGCAGGTGGCATCATCTTGCTCTTCCAGGATGACACAGTCAGTGGTCTCCAGCTCTTCAAGGATGGCCAATGGATTGATGTCCCTCCCATGAAGCACTCTATTGTCATCAACCTCGGAGACCAGCTTGAGGTATAAATTCCCTAACATTTCTTTCTTCATCGACCAAAGATTTTGGTATCTAGCATTTCCCATAAAGGGATCTTTGCAATATATAATTGGTTTTTTTATATTAATGACTAGTACCATCTCTGCTCTGCTTTAAGCACAAACCAACTTGGCCAAAGGTGAATAATAAACAAATACTTCAGATTCTAGTCAACTTCTTATTTTAATTTGTTACTTGTGAATGTAACATAGGTAATCACCAATGGGAAGTACAAGAGCGTGGAGCACAGGGTGATTGCTCAAAAAGATGGTAACAGAATGTCCATTGCTTCCTTCTACAACCCTGGCAGTGATGCTGTGATCTACCCAGCACCGGCTTTGCTTGAGAAAGAGGCTGAGAAAAATACCCAAGTTTACCCCAAATTTGTGTTTGAGGACTACATGAAACTCTATGCTGGCCTGAAGTTCCAGGCCAAGGAGCCAAGGTTTGAAGCTATGAAGGCCATGAAGGAGTCCACTGTGAACTTGGGTCCTATTGCCACTGTTTAGTATGTGTGTCTCTGTGTATTAGTCTGTTGATGGTTGTGTAAACCAGAGCTTAATTAGGTAAGCTGAAATAAAAGTTTGGGCTTAGATCCTAGTAAGGTTACTTTGTGATGTCCTAGTGAAGTTATTATGTTTCTGTTCTAGAAAATGACCAGCTTTATATCTGATATAAAATTGCCTCTAAGTTACTATTTTGGCTTTATTATGTTTTTCCATTTTGTCCCCAAATCTTCATATATGTCTTGCTCAAACCCCCTCTGTTATCCTTTTCCCTATTCTAGTGGGATACCCTACTGAGGATACACTTCTGCCTTGCTTCCCAGTGCAAGTTAACTGTTAATGGAGAGATACAGACATTTTATACGACCAAATCCCAGAAATTTTTTATTAACCTACTTGGTAAAGAATCCTCTTAAACTAAGCCTTGATCTTCCTTCTGTCAGCAGATTTTTCCTAAATTGCATCCACATAAATTGCATCTTTGGAAGTGGAGAATTGATAAAAAGTCCACTAACCTGGGAAAGCTGGAAAGTTCTGCTTAACTAAATAATCATTAAGTTAATGCAAATGATCAAAGGCGCACAAATGACAATGAACTTTCTTGATTATGAAACCACTAATTTGTCTTTCTCATCTTGTTTCTCTACATCCAATCGCTTCTTCCCCTTTCTTCTATTTAAATAGCTCGTTAAGGGTCACATAATTGCTTGACACGTAATGGCTGCATTTTAGTAATCAGGCAAAGGAAAGGAGCAACTTTTGTGTTTTGTTACCTAATCTAAGTGAGATCATTTCAGCATTATGATTAAATTATTATAACTTCAACTTTCACAAAATCGAAGGTAAGAGTAAACTAATGACAACTTCAGACCTAAAACTTTACTGGAAATTAGGTGATATGAATTAGTACATAGAATTTGGGTGGTGATGTAGCAGAAAATGCTAAACCCAGAAAAATATTAGGAAAGTAAATGTAAACTTATCCATCTGAAATAATTCATAACACCAGCAAGTTTATCTCTCACAAAATAACAGACCTGAGATAGCGCAGGCTAATAACAAAATAAAGGCTCATAATTGCTCAGTGAAAGAAATCATTGGTATTGCAAACAATGGGAAAAATTAAAGGTCACCTCCAAGGTTAAAATGGAGCACTTAAAACCCAAAATCTTTTGAGCACACCACCACTCAATACAGGCACCCAACATTTTTCAATTGCAAAAGAAAAGTTTCCACATTTCAACCATATAGCTCAGGTAAAATGCACTTTCGCTCACTCCATAGTCAGGATGAAGGTGAATCATGGAAGCTAACACACAAACAGAAACCATCACCTCCATGTCACTTTGTCAATGGTTGACTGACCTCACTGTCCTTTTCTTCTGCTTAACCATTGAGCTTCTTTTCATCACCTTCCCCAGCATCTGCGCTGGAGCAATGATTTTTCAGAACAGTTGAAATGTCGGCCTCTGAACCGCCAGCAAGTCTGAAGCGCTCAATAGCAGCATCAAGATTTTTCTTCCAACCATCCATCACCAATTTGCATTCAACTTGAGATCTCTCAAAGAGCATGTTACCCCAGAATAAGTGTATCTGTGATCTCATGACAGCAGCTTGTTCAGCCGCTTCCTCAGGAGACAACTCACCTTGACCTCGAGAGGGCTCACCTTCAGTACCACTTCCAGTTTTCTTCCTTCTCTTCAACAGCTCTTCCCTCTTACTTGCATTTGGATCTTTTAGCTCCTTAGCTCTCTGCTCCTCCAACTTCTCCCACATCTCAGTAGCAGCTTTCATCTTCTCTTCTGCACTGTCAAAAAGTTGAAGTGTCTCTGAGGGATCCCATCTTGAAAGATCTATTTTCTTAGCAAGAGCAAAAGACCAATGAAGTTTGGCCATTTCAAACTGCTGCTGACCCAGTGCCAGCAAACCTTCATAAAAGTCTGGCTTGATTATGAGTGCCTCTTCGTACTTTTCTCTGGCCCAAGAATACTTTTCCTTAACCCAGTCATAAGCTACTTGAAGTTGTGCTGCCACTACCTCCTTCTCAGCAGACTCGTCTAAGGGAATCCGTTTCCTAGCAGCACACATATGAACATTTCCCCAATTGAAATAAGCCAAAGCAGCCACCTCCTGGAATTTCGCAGCAGCCTTGTCAAAAAGGACTTGAGCTTCTTCGCTTGTTACTGTCTCCTCAAGAGCCTCAGAACAGAGCTCCATCCCTAGCTCATGCAAGTCTATATGAGCATCTGGGTCTATACCAATGTGGGTGCGGAAAAGCTGAGCAAAATCAAATAACCAATCATCCATCTCAACTTCTTTGGACTCTGGATCTTCAGAAGCTTCCACTTTCTCCTTTGGAGATTCTTTGTGGGTCTTATCAATCTCAGTATCAACAGCCTCAGATACAGATTCCCCAAGAGATGAGTTAGACCCACTTTCATCTCCCTTAATGGCCTCACTTTCTGTAGGTTTTTCCTCATCTTCATCAGGCAGCAGAGGCTCCTGTTCTGGACTTACCTCTACAATATGCAATCTCAACATCCCCACTGAATCACCTTTATCCGTGCCGGGCTCCTTTGCAAAAACACTATCAGCTGTGGACTCAGCCAATCTGAGTTCTGCTGTACAAGTTATAGTTACTAAGTCTCCGTCATTATCCTTATATTTCATCAAAATGGACTTGGATGAAGGAAAACGTTTGCTGACAATCTCCCTTAACACTTTGAAGCCACAATTCACTGGCATTTGAGCAAGCCTTATGTCATGATCATAAACAAGTTTCAACGGTCTCCAGTAAATTGCCACCTCTGCAGCCTGCCCATGAGTGGACAATGATGTTGAAGAAAAAAAGGACTGCTCTTTCTGCCCATGCTTATTCAAATTAGCAGTGGCTTTGGAAGAACCACCTGAAGGCTTCAACACAAGTTTTGGAAACTGAGCTTTGTTCTCAGGACCATTTTCAGTTGATGTGTTTATTTGGAGCTTCTCCAGCTTATTGGTATTAGATGATACAACTGATCCACCAGCTGAATTTGTAGCCTTCTTTGCAACTGGCCGGCTGGGTAAACAGGGCCCAAGACCACCAACTGGAGCACCACGAACTGCAGACGCCCCAAGGGCAGCTGGGGAAGGGCGGCTTTGAAGGTCCTGCTTTGCCTCTTGGCGAGAACCCACTGCAGTTCTCAATCTTCCAGCAATCTCCAAAGCATCCTGGTGATTTGGTTCAGCCCCCAACAATAACTGCACATCCTGCAATGCCATGTCATACTTCCCCAACGCCTCAAAGGCCCGAGCCCTTCTGAGCAGAGCCCGGACATACTGGGGCTGAATCTGAAGCGCCATGCTACACTCAGCAATCACAGTCTCATAGTCAATAGGTTTCATTTGCATCAAACAAGCAGCTCTGTTGCTGTGAAAGACAGCCCTGTCCGGATGTGTTTTGGGTGTAAGCTTAAGTGCATTGCCATACTGCTCAAGAGCACCCACATAATCCTTATTCTGAAACCTCCTATTCCCTTCTTCTTTAAGCTCATGGGCTCTCTTCAGAAAGATTGAAGAGTCTATACCAACACCACCATTAGCATCTGCTGTTGTATGATTTGAATTATCAACTGAAACATGGTTTGACCCACCCTTCTTTCTCCTACCCCCAGATTTCCCCATATAAAAATCCTACCCTCTCCCCCCACACAGAAAAAATCAGTATATACTTATCTAACCTTGTGTCAAATAATTAACAGAAGCAATATTGCAAGTACTTTCAACAATAAGTTGAGTTCTGGAAATGGTAAACAGGGAGAAAGGAATTAATACTTACAGAAGATAAAACACAAAGTCGAGACCTTTCTTCGCAGATTGTAAATGGGATTATGCTCAAAATTCAAAAGCTCAACAAGAAATAGAGATGAACAGAAATTGGGAGAGCAGCTAGGGAGTTGAGAGAAAAGGGAGTACTTTGTAGTTTGGAGATGGAGTTTTGGGGATAGTTCAATGTAGCCGAAACCCTAGGTGTTCGGAACAGTCTTTATCAGATCAGATGATCCGATTTCGAACCCTCATCAAGCTCACTCCTAACCGTCTGATTTGTCTACTTTTGGTTTTAAATCGGTTTAACATACGTGTCCGTCAACTTAGTGATTTGGTACTATTTTGTCCCTAAACTTTTCTTTGATCCGAAAGTAGTTCTTAAGGACCTAAACTTACTTCTCTAGTCCCCAAATTGTCCCTTCGCTGATGGATAGCTAAGGTGTTAACATCAACACTCGAAAATTTTGCATTCTAGGATAATTGTACAACTTGATAGTGATCTAATATCCAAAGAAAAGAAAAGAAAAGAAAAGAAAAGAAACTTGATAATGATCTGAATTATTAAGCATTTTGTACAACCACAAATTATATTATGTTGAAATATTTACAATTTTTTTAAGATTAGTATGAATAGTCTTGGAATTAAACTTTCTTGAAGAAAGTTAATGTAAAGAGTTTCAAAATATAAAAAAAATA